GAGAGAGAGAGATCTGCCCTTGAATTTAAAGTTTTTGATTAATTTCGATCCCTAATCAACCATCCTGATTGATCATTTCTCCTAATCTCACTTTCTAAATGGTTGTCACTTGTTAGGTAGTGTAACGAGATCCAAACTGAGATTGCGAGATGAGTCAACTTCAACATTTAATTTGATTCCAACCAAAGGTACTTTATCTTAAGACTTACATTGTCTACTTTCTTTTTGTCTATTTTCTAAGAAACATCTTACTTTTTTTTTACATTTATCATCATTAATATTTTCTCCTTTTATGGGCATAAAACTTATTGTTTACATTATTAATGAATTTTATTAGTTTTTCTTAATATTTGTGTGATTCCAAGACATTTCCAGAACCTCACATTCCTAGGCACCTGTTTGGTCTATGTCAAAGTGACCCACTCTATAGACCCCAAGTGCAAGTTACTTGCATGCCACAAGTTACTTGCAGCAAATATTTATCTAACACATAGGAGAAACATCAATAGGGTTTCTTCTCTAATTGAATCCTTACCAAAGAAAAAAAAAAAGAAAGGGTTTCTTGGTATAGAAGTAAAAGTTTTCAATTTCAACTTACCAAGTAAAAGTTTTCAATTTCAAGTAAAAGTTTTCAATTTCAACTTACCAAATTTTAAATGTTTTAATAAAGTACAGTCAACCCTCCTATAATACTGTTGATTTTTCCATTTTATATGAATTCCATGTTGTACGAGTAACTTAGATTTTGCAAATACGTGTGTCAGGCTGTGAACGGCTCATGTATTTGTAAAATCTAAGTGACTTTTACAACATGGAATTCATATAAAATGGAAAAATCAACAGTGTTATAGGGGGTCGACTGTATACAATTAAAAAATAGAACTTTCATTAACTGGAGTGTAATTTTTCTCTTTTAGACAATAATGCCTGATATAATTTTAACATGTGGTTTTCAACCAGTCCATACTGACAAAATTTTTTACACTTTTGAGATGAAAGAAAGGAATTTTACTTGCAAAGGCTAAACATATAGCTGAAGTTAAAAAAATTAAAGATGATGGAGGAAGTACAGTTACAGCTACTTGCTTACTCCAAATGTAAATTAATGAGAAATCATATTATATTTGTATTAAGGCAATTTTTTACATTTAATTTGCTAATTTGCACTTTTAAATACTTTTAGATGTCAGCATGGCCTCTCTGCAATAAGCAAACAGGATGATTTGCATGACAACAAAACATTGTATATCACTGCTTTTATCAAGCTATATACTGTTGAATTTTTCTTTAATAAAAATATTTCATACATGTTTTGTGAATTATTTTTAATACAAATTAATTTTCAGTTAGCAGCAGATAGAAAAATAGTTACAGAAACGTGTAAGTGCAAGGGAGGTATAAACATGTAGCAGCAACAATTTTTGCATTAAATAATTATAAAAACAAAAGTGTTACCAGTGGAAAACAACAATGGGGAACTCCACAACATAAGATATACACATCAGGTAGATGTTGCCTTCGTAATTGTGTAATTCCAAAAAAGGATAAAAATACCAGCATCATTATCATCAAATGCACAACATTTTTATTATATCAAAAGAGTAAAACACATTAATTGTGCTCTTTCTTCAATGTTGAGAAATGAATTGGATGAATATGCACAATGTCAAATGCTGCTATCTGATTTAATCAACACAGTTCATGAACAATGTGAGGAATTATATTTAAAATATTTAATTACACTATTATTTGAAAGTAAACATATGAATAATTGTTATAAAATTGTTGAAAAACTACCTACAAAGATAACATTTTTTAAATGGATTAAGTTTTTTTTAGTTTTATCATTTTAGAAAAATTGTTAAAATTTTATAATGATAATATGATTATCATATTTCCAAAAATTACTCAAATAGCCTATCTTACAAGAAAACAAAGCACATGTCCAGACTGGTTCATTTACAAATGATACAGATTAAGCAGCTCTATGGCTCATTCTATAAAAACAAGAAAAAGCAATTTTGAAAAATTGGCTTTTAGATTTTTAAATAATACATTCAAAGAAACAATTGCAGCTGATTATGGAATTAAACTGGAGAAAATTGCAAAAAATTCATTTTTGCTTAAAAAAATATTAGAATAATCAGGAGTTATCATTTGTAATGAAGCTCCCTGGATTTGCGCAAGCCCTGATGGTATATATAAAAAAGGAGATAAAATAAGCTTACTTGAAATTAAATGCCCTTACAATGTAAAGATAAAAAAAATTGTCAATTTCTAGACAAATAAGGTATTTGTAAAATAGTTAGAGTTTAAAAATTCTAAACTTTATTTAAAAGAGAATAGCATGTATTATACACCAAATCTAATTAGCTTTATATGTAACAAATATTCAATTTTCTTAAATTAATATGCCTCAATGTCCTTAATTTATTATAGTCTTATTTCATCCACTAGTATGTATTTTCTATTAACAGGACTTATTAAACTGGCTGTAAGGATACTACAACTCAGTTTCACAGATTATAAAATTATTGTTTTATTTAATTTACCTAGACACATACATTTTAATATTGTGTTTCGAACTTGTTCGTCCCTCATCAACAGGTATTTATATGGCACATTCTACATAAAAATTTAAAAAATAATTTTTTTTTTTAATTTTTATGTAGAATGTGTAGAATATTAAAATGTATGTGTCCAGGTAAATTAAATAAAACAATAATTTTATGATCTGTTATAACTGAGTTGCAGTATCCTTAAACCCAGTTTAATAAGTCCTGTCTATAGAAAATACATACTAGTGGACGAAATAAGATTATTCAATTTTCTTATTTATTTATCTATAGTGATATACAAAATGTAATTCTTAAAGTGGAAAAAGATGAGACATTCATTTGTTCACTATTAGAGAAGATGCAAATGTTCTACTTTAGTTATTATTTATTTGCAATTGTAAATAGTATTTAACAGTATTTAAGTAAATAGTTTTAGTGTTTTCACAATAAAAAAAATCACTCATTTATAATTGGAGGCTGCAAATTTACTAATACTGCACAAACAAACATTATTTTATCTACATATGGAAGATCTGCAATGGGTAATATGCAGTTCAATATTTCAAAAATTTTAATTCTACCAATAGCTCTCTCAACTTACCAATAACTCTCCATTTCATTACCACTAAATTGCTTTGATTTGGTTTTGAGAAAGGAGGCATAATTAAAATAAAATTTTTATTTTTGACACCAAATTTAACTTGAGGAATCCTCTATCAGCTATAACAATATCTCATTCCTCCAGTTTTTGCAGAATACCACAATCATTTGTTATTAATGAATCTGTACTTCTTCCTCCATACCCACTAGAAAGATAAGTTATAAGTCCTGATGGGGGCAATTCCAATTAAATATTTTATAGTATAATCAGATTTATAGTAGGAATAAAACTGAATTTGATGTTGAACTGATGATGGTTTCTCAGTTTTAATTTCTGTACAGTCAATGATTACTTTGTTTCAAGATACATGGGTAGGCTGAAAAGTAACGCACACATGCTTGTAGAACACAAACAAAAACTAATAGCAAGATTGGGCAAAAAGTACATTAAAGTTCAATTTTTAAGCTTCAAAATCATATATTTATTTTTCAACATAGTCACCGTTAAGGCTAACACATTTCTCCCAACGTGTAGCAAGTTTTTTCATTCTGTCACTGAAAAATTCTTCTCACTTTTCTCGAATCCAAGACTTGACAGCTGCCTTCACCTCATCATCTGAGGTGTAATGATCATCCTTGAGGTATCTGTTGAGTAGAGGAAAAAAATAAAAATTGCAAGGCACAAGATCGAGAGAATAAGGAGGGTGTGGAATCGGTTCAAACTTCAGGTTTTGCAGAGCCTCTCCAGTTGCGTGCGAGGTGTGTGGATGAGCGTTGTCATGTTGCAAGATTATTGGCGCCAGGCTGCCTCTAACATGATAAATTCAACATTGGAGGTGTTTTAGAGTCTGTATGTACTGAGAAGAATTAAACATTGCAATGAGGGGCAATGGTGATTGTCTGTAGCAGTAATCGGATGTCTGCTGCATGTTTCATCAACAATTATGGCTTTTCCAGGCTCGCAACCACAAAATTTTATTATCCATCGATTATTACAGTAGACCTATCAACAGCATTGTCACCATAAACAGCCTTTAAACGACGAATCTCAGTAGGAGTCACTTTTTCAGCAGTTAAAAATTTGATAACAGCACGCTGTTTAACTCGCGATGACATAGCACTAGAACACATCTCCATATTTCCACTTCTCAAAATATACTGAATGAATGCAACAACCTCAAACTGCGCATGCACATAGAGGGGGAATTTTACTTCCATATGTCATCTGGCACACTTCTGAAAATCATTTCATCTGCACTCTACAAGCATGTGTGTATTACTTTTCAGCCTACCCTCATAATTTTCTTTAAATGGCCAAAGTAATGTAATCTTAATTAATAGATAATTTCCAAACACAGAACAATTTACATTTGATTTTCTCATTCTTAATATTTTAACTCAGATACAAATTAATAAATAATAAGTGATTTACTGCGCTAGGTGCAGTTTTCAAAATGTCTCAGATACAATGTATAAGCATTCTTCAGTGAACTCCTATGTGTTATGTAAATATTTGCCACCAGTGTGGTGCACGAGTAACTTGCACTCGGGGTCTATTCTTGTAATTGAAAATCATGGTGGTAAAGTGAGAGAAAAATACATTACTCTGAAACATTCGTAGGGTGTAGAAATGAGAGTTGTTTAACTGAAAGTTGTTCAAATGAGAAATTTTAGACATTATCTCCCATAGGCTTCTGCCAGGACCAGTGAAAAATGTTTCTTAACTAAGAGAATTGCTTAAATAAGAGTCATATCAGTGAGAAGTCACTGTGTTTTTGAAAATGTTTTTACTTGTTACGAAGCATTACATTATAAATATAAATTAATGATAAAATTACTTACTTTCAGATTTTGCCATCAACAATAACTGGTTTCAGTAATCCCTAGACTGAAGTTGACAAGTTGATATTCTAAAATATTTTTCTTCACTGAATGAATAACTAAAAACCATAAAATATAAATCATTATATTATCATTTAAAATTTTCTATTAATGATGTAAAATAAGATACTATTATAATTTCAAACACTCATTATAACAGAATGGAATCAAATTTTTCTAAGTATAAAACAATTTCAATGTCTTAGTTTCATATTCAGAATTCTAAAATTTATTATTTAAAAAATAACATTTCTTTCAATAAATTAATTTTTAAAGCATTTTTTCAAATAATTTTAAACTGAAAAGCCTATCATTACTAAAAATAACTGAAATATTGCAATATAGATATATTGAATATCAATTTTATAACACTCACCAAATACAGGAAACCATCACCAGTTCATAACAAACAGAAAAATTCTTTCTATGAACGTTTTCATCTATATGTAATAGACATCCTCAGGTATTGACGATATCGAACTAACAGCTAGTAGAATAAAATGTTTTTGAAAGTTATATTTAACTACGTAATTCGAATACGTTGCATTAAAATTGAAAATATGTAAAATATTTTGAAACATATCTGAATAAATAATCAATTGCTTTCACGTAGCTCATGACATAAATATCCTCCGTAATTTAAAATAACTCTGATGTGCATTTCAATCATTAGGACGTAGTTCAAACATGGCGCGCCATGCTGCGGAAAGCGTATTGATTTCTTTGAAATTAATACCGACCCCTTTTTTAATTGCCTTATATATCTCCAGCGATTCGAGGTACTTGAGTTGTGCCTTATCCAATACTTTGTGTAGCAATTTAGCATTTTTTAGATCAACATGTACATCCTCATTATTCGCATATGTCGCTAGTGCCGTCATGGTCAGCTTTTTTCTTATTGAGTATTCATGTTCTTTCATCCTCATGACGAGACCTCTTGCCATTGCTCCAATGTATTTTAATGCATGGTTAACCCAGTCATCTTGAAGAGGAATCGCATAAACCCCTGGAGAGTTAGAATCTTCTATACAGTTTTTATCATTTCTGATAAGAGAAAAGACTGTAGGAGAACGTCGATATGCTACGTGTATTTTAGTAGTCCTTGCAATCTCTCTATATATATTAGAAAGTGTTTTGTTGTATGTGATAACCCTCATCTGTTTATCTTGTGGCAAATTCCTCTCCCTCCTATTTATGTATTGTTTTATGAGATGCTTGACCAGAGAGGACGGGTATCCATGTTGCATTGCAAGGGCCTTGATCCTCGACAATTCATTTTCCTTTTCATTTTGTTCCAAACAATGTGTGTGTATGTGCCCTTTTTACCAAAGCTCAAAAAGCAGAAACTTTGTATAACAATAAGCAGTATTTTTCTGTTTGTTATGAACTGGTGATGGTTTATTTGGTGAGTGTTATATAATTAAGTACCCAGTTTTTTTAAATATATTGAATATCAAAATCAGTTCAGTGTGATTTTAAAGCCTTTTGATCTCATTTGAGATGATTTTTTACACAAAGTAAACACTTGAATATCTTTTTCCTCCCATCAAGATGTTTTATTGATTATTGTATGCCTCATGCTTCATTAAAATAAAATAATTTGGACATACAATCATGCAATTTAGCATGATTTACAGTATATTTACAGTAAAACATTTGTTTTATTTTATTACTTATTTGATTATTGATTTTATTTATGTGCAATAGATTTTAAAATGAAATCTATTGCAATAGAAAGCTAATACAGCAGTATTTTTTAACTACATAGAAGTGAATATTATACAGTATACTTTCACATATCCAAACTCATTTTTACATGGGTTCAGATTACAGAAAAGTTAAGATTAGCATAGTTACATATGTGAGAATACGGACGAGGGGACTGAGCCCTATAATCGTTGAGTTGGTAAAACTCACCCACTTTGTCTCTGGGATGGCTTTTTTTTTTTTTTTTTGGGTGGCGGGGGAGGTGAACAAGTCAACAGATGTCCGTGTTTTGGAGTGACAGGAGACAGGTTTTTAACAGACAACAAGAATTTATTATATAACTAAACCTATGATACATATAACTAAGCCTAAGATTAGATACAATTAAATGAGGTTACATATACACTCCTCTGGAGGGGATTGACAAAAGTTTCTAATCAGCTCACATGCTGATGTAATGACCTAGCTCTGTCACTACTTCCACTGAGAGAGAGTTTACAATAATCTTTAGATACCTCAATATTTGTTGGTCAAATTAGATGATGTTCGTTTGATCGGAGAGAGAGGAATATGAAGAGGACTGGCAATTGTATAGCGGGTCTTCTTATCGTTGACTTGCATGGGCTGGGACAGTCAGTTTGTGGAGGTCTGATGAACTTGGCACCTAGTCGTCGATTTCCAGGCACTAATTAATCTATTCACCTTCCTTTGGATTTCATATGGGATGACCACCTGGGACTTTGGTGTCTCCACCTTTTATGCTTGATGCCTGGGAAAATGATCATGTGATCAACTATTGACATGATGAAGGTTCATTCTCAGGTGCGGGCATAGGTTTCGTCCGATGATGTGTAATAGCAGCTGTCCCTCTCTTACAATTGAATGTTTTCCTTTTGCCATCTTGTTGTCAAAATTCCTCTTTGTTTGTTTAGAGAGAACGTCATCTGATCCCTTTTAGAGAGATGTTTTTTTTTATAACAATTGCATTAAGAAATTAAATTACAAAGTCATAATTTTGTGCGAAATTTGATCATTCCTCCACTCGGGCCTTTACATAGGCCCAAGGGCTCACACATATGGACCATTTATTTTGAAAGTGGTGCAAATCCATTTTTGGAAAAAATTGAGAAAACACATAATATACATACAATTTAGTGTGAACTTTTTATTTATAAACAATTCACACTTAACATTTTAAAATAACCATAAGCTTTGATCAATTGAAAATTTATCGGCAAATGACATTGCATAACCATTGATTTTGAAAGTGGTGTAAGTCCATTTTCTACAGTCTAAGCACTTGGGCTGTCCATAAATTACATGCACATTTTTCTTGAAATTTTTACTTCTCCCTCTTGTCCCAGTTTGTCAAAGTTTTTGTAACTGCTTTCCCTCTATGGATGTCCAACATAACTCTATCCCCATTAAAACCTTCATCATGTTATGAATGATAGATACCATAAGTAGAAATGAAACATATAAGAAACTTTGAAATAAATATAATAAAATTCATACTGTATAAAATTTAATGAAATAAATGGATGTCCACTAATACTCAACCCCGCTTGTTCGAGTTGTCTTAATCCCCTTCCTCCCTTTCAGTGTGGACATCATTTAAAGACAGCCCCTTACAACAGAGTAGTAAAAATATAAATATTACCAACAAATGTACAATTTGATGGAATGGAAAAAATCCATGTAATGAATCTAAATGAAAAGCAGTGTCTCATAACAATGATAAACTCATAAAATAGTTTAATAAGTAATAATAGAGTCTGTAAGCTCATAATAATGATAAACTTATCATAAAATAATTTAACAATAAGTAAATATTTTAATGTTCAGAATAAACAATACTATTTTATTTCTTGTTATTATATATGAACAAAATCAGAATAAAACACAATGTATTTCAAGTGAAATTGAGTTTTACATAATAGAAATTTAATGAATTTTACAGTTCAATAATTATGAAAGTGGTGTAAGTCCATTTATGACCCAGAAAGAATATATTAGTTTAGTTAAATTCACATAGAAGTCTTTATGCAATCAACTTACATATTTCTAAAGTCATACAAACATTGTCAAACTTAGTACACTTTATTTATATTTTTGAATCAACTAAAATGCAAATGTTTAAATATCTCAAAAGAAGAAAAAAATGGACTTACACCCTTTCAAAATAAACGGTCCATATAAAGAACAAGAAATGAAAAAGTGTAAAATTGTATGAAGTTTCTGGACTGCAATTTGAAAAACTTGTAGACCTATAAATTCATGCTGTCATCTCTGTCTGTTCTTATTTAATCTCGAGAATGGAGTTAGATGAAGGCCAAGATCAGATATGGAAAACTTAGGGCAGGAGGCCCCAATTAACTATATCCTAACTTCTGATGCAAACTGAAGTCACATTATTTTAATTCAAAAATTTTCTCCTGAAAGGCCTTAGACAGATGACCAGCACAACTCTATTGATAACAGGAAAGTATGATGTACAGGGGAAAGACACTACTAATTTGAGGCAGAGAGCATATATTTTAAATTAAATAAATCAAAAATTGCAGCCCAGCATTGTGACGATGTCACAATAAATAATTGCTCATTAGGCAAAGCATCTTGGGCAAATGTACAGTACAGTGTATTGCTACATGATGCATCACTTTGGATACTGCCAAATAAACCAGTGGCGTAGCATGGGTGTCAGCCGCCGGGGGCAAAGGAAAATTTCGCCGTTCCCTCATTTAGGTATCTCAATTTAAAAGACTAAAATTCAGTTTTGTCACAGAATAAGTAATGAAAAATTCCATGCTAGTGTTGCCACCTTTTTAAAATCGCAGACCTGGACGGCAGGTGAGGTTTATTTGAACAGAAGTTCTTGATGCATGCATACTGTATGTCATTTTTCAATGCGAAGAATAATGTGCAGTGCATGCTGGTTCTAAATAAGTTAGCGACTAGGGAGACTCGGGTAGGAGTAACGTAAGTAACCTAGAAGACATAGCTCTATTGGACATTGGAGGTGTATAAGAGTATGATTGAATCGTACAAGCAAAATAAAAAAAAAAAAATCGACAGGATTGCACATGAAATCCCGGGTAAAATTAACAGTTCACCTGGGTGGTGAGTCGATTCCAGGACTGTCTGGATGGTAACACTATTCCGTGCTCATTTCAATTGGTCCGAATCATAGGTGTGACGAAAATATGAAATGAAATGGTTCAAATTTTTACAAGTTATTATTATTTATTCTGAAATTTTGCCGCCCCCTAAAAAGTGCCATCCCTACCGCCCCCACTACGCTACTGAAATGAACATTAATTACACAAAATTAGTGTGTAGTTGAATCACTTTC